CACACCGTTGAAATTCTAGAGTGTACAACCACGAAAGCGGAATATAGAATCAATCTATACGTCATCTATATAATATTTGGCAACTTCGAAATTATTATATATACAACTGATAGCAACATTGCTTGCTGCTGTAGAATATTCCTGTATACATCCGTACTTTTTACCTTTTGTCTTCGTAATCCACGAGATATCGAGGCGAGAGAGGTGCAGTTATTAATTGTTGGACGTGCTCTTGGTCATGTGCGCCTCCGAGGTGTTTGAATTCGTGTACTGTGGGATAAACTAGTGGAATATTTAATCTAGATACGGCGGCTCTCCTGGCCCATAGATTAAGGTGTTCGGCTCTCATTCAATAGATCCCGGGTTCAAATCCGCACTGCATCGGACATTTTTCTTCTCTAGAATTGTCTCCTTTCACCTTCTTTCCTGTTCTGGCAATGTTCTATCATCTGCTTTCGTCCCCACTTTCTGCCCCCACCCCCTCACCTCTTTGGCCACCTCCTCTTGGCTCCTGACTCTTTCTGCAGCCTTTCTACAGCTACTCCTTGGCTCCTTCTTACTGCTGTCTTTCAGCCACACCCTGATCTTATGCTAGGAAAGATCTACACTTAGCCTTCTCGGACAAGGGCGAAAAAAGTCGGAGGCCCCGTGTGCAAGTTGCGCCTGTTAAACATCCCTAGGTAGTCCAAAATCAATAAGAGTAGGCTTCGGCCGCCACCCGTGAAAAACTCAAAATGTCCTACGAACTGAAAATGTTTAGTGTGTCCCGCGCTCTCATATGACCTTATGCAGTTGCGAGTGCCGTAAAACACTTGCTAAAAAAGATATAATATTCTTGCTGGCTGTTGTCAGCTATTGTCAGATGTTATCAGGTATTAGCAGCTGTTTGTCAGCTATTGTCAGATGTTATCAGGTATTAGCAGCTGTTTGTCAGCTATTGTCAGATGTTATCACCTACTGTCAGTTTTTGACAGCTATTGCCAGCAATGTCCAGCTGTTTCTAATATTGGCAGCTTTTGTCTATTATTATCACAGTCATTTGTGAGTCAGAGTGGTGAAATGTAGTTAAAATAGATCTTGTGAATTTGAAGAAAATGGCATTTTTCCGTCAGTTTAGCAATTTTTATCGAAGTTTTGTTTCCCACCTCAACATCTTTTATGTCCAAATAATAGCATATTTCCATGCGAATTTTACTGAAAAACGTTCATTAAAGGCATAAATTTGGTGATTTTAACAGCTTTTAAAGACTCTCAAGCTATTGAAGTTACCAAACTTTGGTGGCCATTTTCTCGATAATTGTAGCACTGAAACCAGGCGACCCCACCTCCTTCAATCTCAAATATCTTGTCTTCTATTCAAGATTAATGGGCATTTTTTTTCACAAATAGCAAGACAACTGAGCACGCTATATGATGATACCAAAATCTCCACATGCCAAAAAGTGGACGTGCACCTGATTCCACCATGTCGTGACACATTTGTTTTCAGCTATTGCCAGATACAGTCAGCTATTGGCAGTTTTAGCTATTGCCAGATGCTGTAATCCACTGTCAGCTCTTATTAGCAGATCTTAATTGCCAGCTATTCATTACCTCATAATTACGCAGATCTGTACGCTCAGTACCGAATTTTAAGAAATATGACGTAAGAAATGTTGAGTTTCACAACATGTCAAGCTTTTTTTAATGCAATTCTTTGAAATCTTGATAACGACTCCGAATGATCTAACGATTTTGACAGAGCAGATGGAACATTGTTTATTTGATTTCTGGCCCCTTGGTCTTATAATCACACAAAACGGCAAAAAATGTCAGATAGAACTTTGAAACTCTGAAGCAGCGTATTGTCAGCTGTTATCGGGCATTGTCAGCTAATATCAGCTACTTAACTGTCAGCTATTGTCAGTAACATTCAGCTGGTGGAAGCGTTTGTCTGCAATTGCAAACTAGTAATTTTCAGAAGAGATGGTTAATGAGAAGCCTGATGTACATTAAGATGTTGCTTTATTTTCACTTTTTATAATCATAATCTGTTGATAATGATGTCACTGTAGGTACTAGTGTACATGTTGTTGTTGCTGCCGTTTCTGGTGTCGGTGATTGAGGAGTTCATTAATATGTTGAGGTTGCTATTGTTGTAGTTGGTTTTGTTGTTTTTGTTGCTGTTTTTGTTATTATTGTAGTTGATGACGTTGTTGTTGCAGTTGCTCACGTAACTGTTTTCTTCAGTAGTCGACGTCTAGTAGTAGTAGTAGTAGTAGTAGTAGTAGTAGTAGTAGTAGTAGTAGTAGTA